AAATAGGAAAAAAAAAAATGATAAAAAGTACAAAATGTTTGATAACTTTTTTTTTTGATAAATTTAATTTCTTCCAGTACGTTCAGCAAATAAACTGTAATTGTGCTTGTGTATACATGCATTAACATATTTTCACGTAGGAAAAAAAACATGTAATTTGACCAGGGAAACTTTTCAGTACGAATACTTTTGAATTGCTCCAGTGTCTCTCATCACTCTTAAAGCAGTAAGATTGATGGGTCAGCAGCGTTAAGCCTCCTGCCTTTGAACTCCACTGCCCGGGGCACTGATGGGCCGGATAGTGAGTGAGTTAGTGCTCTGTGTTTTTGTCCATGTGTATGTGTGAATGCTGCAGCGGAGAGAGGATCAAGTAGCTCAAAACAAACCGCGTGTTAGCACTCATTGCTAATGTTTATCGGTGAAATGAAAGAGCTCTTGATCTGATCCTCTTCAAGTAAACACAGCAGTCCACTTAACTATCAGCTCACTGCAGCATGTGTTCTGGTGCTGCTCTAGAGAAACACCCACTCCTCTTCCAGCATTACTGGAATCATTTCAACTCCTGTAGCTGCGTGGATGTCAGAATACAGCACAGTTAGTAGAATGGGTTGCCAGGTCAAGGAAAATACATGATGTAACATGTTTTTATTGCCATCACGATATTTCTACTATAAACACGTGGCAAAGTTGGAAATAAGAGCACCACTTTTTCAAATTAGGGTCTGCGTCCGGTCAGAGAAACATTGAACCTCTGTACTCTATACTAATCCTAATTTTATCCCATCACAATATCCAACAACTTTATCTTGCGTGGAATTCTGTTATCTGTACCGTGGAGCTGTGGAGTGTATAGGTGCAGTAATGCGCTGCTGGTCTAGACAGGTTTGGGTAATTACAGCAGTACGCTGACAGTAGGAGTTACAGTGATAATAGAGCAGACCCCGCAGGATACACACACACGCTCAGGATCTACAGCCTGTCAGAGTCAGCTCGGTCATCCGGGTGGAGTTAGACACTAATGAAGGAGTGGGAACGCACACAGACGCATCTCATTTGTTTTTATGCAGTGTCAGGACGTCAGGACATGGGGTCATAAATACGGGCCAACATGTATTAAATATATGTAAGTCTGCATATATAATAATAATGTCTGAAGTGTATTTCCCATGAGCTTCTTAAATGTTAAGGTAACAACATAATTTTTAAAAAATTTATCTGCTTTCTATTTTCTGTTGGTCCTTTATCATAAAATTTTAACACAAGGCAAATAATGCCAAAAAATAGAAATCAACAAAAATATATTTGTGTATGTTTGTGTGTTTGAGTATATATACACTATAAATATGATTATACACTGTAATATGTATTAATATATGCACGTTTATATGTGTGTGTGTGTGTGTGTATATATATAACTTGTATATAAATATGTATTTATATATAATGTATATGTATATAACAGAGAAGGAAAACCATGGCAATGAAATTACTGTAGAACCGTGGCTTACCTTTTTAGGTGACAGCACAAAACTTTTTTCATCATGCAGAGGAAAACATTTCAAAATGTAAACGTTTTATTATGTATAAAAGAGATCAGCAGGTTTTCATGTCGGATGAACACGATGGAGATGAGCTAAGGAGCTAAACCTACAGCTCAACTTGTACAATTGACAGACACTCATTGTCTTCTTCGGGTGTTTTTTCTGCTTTAGTGAATCTGCCAACATTTTAGTTTATCAGAGAAATATATTTTAACTGTTTCTGGACCTAGCCAACATGAGCCTCGCCTGCTTACCACTAAAAGCCTCACTAAAAGACAGCAGACATCTCTACTGTCAGTGCTTTCTCATAACATAACATTTTGTATAACATATTTACTTGCAAATACAAGCAAAACTAAGATGGAGTAAGAAGTCTCTTAATCAAAAAAAAAAAAATCAATGTATTCCAATAGTGGCACTCAAATGGTTAATGAGTAATAGCTCACACACACACACACACGTGTATATAATAATATATATACATATATATATATATATATATATATATATATATATATATATATATATATGTATGTATATATATATACATATAGTAATGTATGTATATGTATATATATATATATATATATATATATATATATATATATATATAGTACATAGTAATGTAATATATATATATATATATATATATATATATATATATATATATATATATATACCACTTACTATATAGGTGCACTTTGTAGTTCTACAGTTACAGACTGTAGTCCATCTGTTTCTCTGCATGCTTTGTTAGCCCCTTTTACCCTGTTCTTCAGTGGTCAGGACCCCCATGGACCCTCACAAAGCAAGTACTATTTGGGTGGTGGATCATTCTCAGCGCTACAGTAACACTGACGTGGTGGTGTGTTTGTGTGTGTGTGTGTCTTGTTCTGTTAGGATAGCCTTGTTTTTCTCTGGGATTCACTTAAGTTAGGCCTTTTCTATTCTGTATATGCACAAAAACAAACTCACACACACACACACACACACACTCACTCACACAGTGCTGTAAATCTCTCCTCTCCGTATGAAAAAGGTCACTGTCAGACAGGTAGAATAGGCAGAAAAGTCCTGTTTTGTCCTGCCCTGTGCTGCTCTGCCGTGTCCTGTCGTGTGCTGTATCTGTTTCTGTCTGATTTACAGCTCTCCTGTCTCACTCTCTCTCCTCTTTCATTCTCTCTCTCATTTTCTTACTCTTTGTTCTCCCTCCTCTTCTCTCCTTTGCTCACTTTCAATTATATTGGACAGGAGTTCAAAAACGAGCTTTCAGAGGAAGGTTGAAGTAGTGTGTGTGTGTGTCTGTGTGTCTGTGTGTGTGTGTGTGTGTGTGTGTGTGTGTGTGTGTGTGTGTGTGTGTGTCTGTGTGTGTGTCTGTGTCTGTGTCTGTGTGTGTGTGTCTGTGTCTGTGTCTGTGTCTGTGTGTGTGTCTGTGTCTGTGTCTGTGTCTGTGTCTGTGTCTGTGTGTGTGTGTGTGTGTGTGTCTGTGTGTGTGTCTGTGTCTGTGTCTGTGTCTGTGTCTGCGTCTGTGTGTGTGTCTGTGTCTGTGTCTGTGTCTGTGTCTGTGTGTGTGTGTGTGTGTGTGTGTGTGTGTGTGTGTGTGTGTGTGTGTGTACTTGGTTCTGCTCTTGTTGTATCCCAGTGTTGTCATGCTGATAGGAACATATTTTGAAGCTCTAGTGAGGTTTAGGAGGTCTCCCTGAAGAAAAAATGCTTTTACCCCAAACACAGGCCCAGATATACGTATGTCATTTTACTGTACAGCATCTTTACAGTTATATTTTGCCAACAACTCAAATTTCTCTAATTGTCTATGTCGTCTATTGTCAGTACCTTTAGAACATTGTTGTTAAGTAATCTCAGACAGACTTGCTCATGTGGTTTCTGCCACTGTCTGACGTACTATTATAAAAATGGACAAAATGACATCACGCAGCTAAAAACAATAGCAGCCATCCTGACACTTTAAATTTGACAGTAGTATGTTATACTGTATTTGAGGTTTCAGGCAAGTGTGTGATGCATTTGGCATGCAGTTAGCACCATGCTAATTAGTGAGGTATAGGCTTTCATTGCTTGTTAGCTACATTAGCCTTGTAGCTTCAGTGCTAAAACTAAACTAGCACTTCAGACGCCAGTCATGTCATTGCAGATCGACTACATTTGGAGTAATCAGGAGAAAACTGGGTGAATTTGATTTTTCACAGAAATTTTGCTTGAACTTAGAATATCTATCAGCAGGACAGGACTGGTACTGTATTACATTGCAATCCAGTGTGATGTTAGTACTCTTCAAAACAATACAATACGTTTAGTGTGAAAGTGAAATCATAATTTATTTTTACCCGTTTCCAACCGCTCTTTATTCCTTAGAATTAGACAGGCTGTTTTTGTTACTGTGCCTGAAGAAATATGGGCTCTGTTCTGATTGGCTGCTCTGTATTGTGCCAGAGTTGGTTTAAGAGGAGCTTGACCTCTTTCTATTTCCCCTGTTATATCAAAAACATGACTGCAAAGCGCCAATGAATGGGAGTAAATGGAGGTACATGACTAAAAATGAAAAGTTAAAATAGTTTTTTTCAAATTTTAGAAAGTAGAAGAGTGTATTTCACAAAAAAGCAAAGAAAACATACCTGAAACATACCTGTATAGTATTCCACACTAAAGGGACAGAAAGAAGAAATTAAACCTGTTCTGTGATGTTGGGATCAGGCTACAGGGTAGCTTTAGCTTAGCAAGCAGGCTACAAACCCAAACAGTGTCGCTGACCACAGTACAGGCTTGATTCTCAAAATCGGTGCTCTGTTGTCACAAATTTAGATGATAATGTTTCAGAGAGCAAATGTAGAGTGACTAAGTAAGTCGAAATCAAGCCTGTTCTGTGGTGTTTGGGCGACAAGCTCGGTTGTAGCTAACTGATGCTAAAATATCACCCGTTTAGAGGTTATCTCAAAGTCGAGTGACTGATGTTGGAGTGAAAGCTGAAACCGAACATTTTCTGTGGTTTGTGCAGAGAATGTGCGGTTCTGGTCCGTGTAGCTCTTTGCTGTGGCTGAGCTGCTATCATGCTTAGATTTTCTGAGGTTTTTCCTGGCCACTTATCAGTGAGCTCCCATACCACCAATCAGTGAGCCCTTTAAAATATAAATGGGAGGAATGTGTTTATTTATACGTTCAGTCGTGGAATAAAAACTTAACGTGTCATAATTTTGAAATAGCATCATAATTGTTGCATAACACAGTATACCACCTTACCATCATACTGTCCACCCATACTTACTACATCAAACTCTTGTTTTAAAAACATCTTGTTTTTCATGAAATGTGCTCTTTAACACATCCTAGTCACAGTTTCAGAGATTTGGCTGTTGAAGGAACCTTAAGTGTGATTGAGGTTGAAGGGTCAAAACCTACTACACCTTAATGACCCACTCACTCCTCTTTCTCTCTCTCTATCAGTGGAGCGTCCAGTGCTGGGCTGCAGGGAGCTGGTAGTGAGGAACCTGTCGAAGCTGATGCCCGCCGTGGGCCGCGATGCCGCTGACTGGCTGGCGCAGACACGGGTGAAAACGCTGCAGCTGCTGAGGGTTCTCCTGCTGCATGCTGAAGAACACTGCACACAGCACCTGCAACCTCTGCTTACGACCCTGTACCGCGCCTGTGCTGACCCGGAGCCAGCCGCCAGAACACACGTAAGATTACATCACTCGCTGAACAGAAACCTTTCCGTACATTCTTAAAGGGGAATTCCACCAATTTTTCAAATTGCCTAATTACATCACTGAGATCCAAAAAGTCGTTCAGAGTGATTTGATATGAAATGGTGCATTGTAAAGAAACTTACTGAGTGAGATGTCTTTCCAATGGTGATGGTAGGAACCAGGGGTCACAATGTCTACAACACAAATAAATAACCATCTTATTGACATCAGTCTATACTTTTACGCTTAGTTCCATAAACTGCAGCATCCATGTGGTTCAGTATTGTCATAGCCAGTTCTAGTTTTAGGAACATCATGCGCTGCACATTGTGTTTTTAACACAAAACACCTGTCTTAACACACCAAGTTTAAGTCATCATGGAATTATGAAGGAACTAAGTCAGGTGTAACAGTGAGGAACAAACACATACGTTCAGCTCAATGAGTCCCTATTTCCATTGATCTCAGCCACAGTTCATTACATTGAAGAGCCAGTTTCATCACGTGTCATCAAGCGAAGGGCTTCACAATCACATCCATTCACTCTGCAATTGACTGGACATTACTGTGTAATCTACATCAATTAGTTTGTCGTAGAGAGCTCTTTTTCGTAATGGTGGAAGGCAGGGTTAATATATGTTCGATTATGCCAAATTGTTTCATATCCTGCACATAAAAGATGACACAATGTTTAGTATTTGCTAAGCAACACCACATGCACACTATAATAGCACAGTCTCCTCTGAAGTCATGAGCTGATCTGAGGTTTTATATGAGCTTTGACAGTCGGGACGTCCCTCAGAGAGCTGTAAGGAATGTGTTTCAGTCACATCTGATTAGCGCAGACACGACAATTAGCAATGCCCCATCACTGCTAATGCAGAATGTCACGCCACATAGACAGTGAGCCAAAAGTATATAAGCAAGCAGTGATTTTTCAAAAATATTGCCAACAACGTATTTATTTCTGTCTAGTTTACCAAATGCAGTTTGTTCCAGAATATCAAATTGGCTCTGCGGTGCCTGGGGTGGTGCAACACCTTCAAAAGCATGGGGCTAAATTTATTAGTGCAAAAGTCAGACATCATTTATTTATTTAATTTCCAGTCAAACCAGCCATTAAGCAGAAGTTGTCCATTTTTCAGGAGATATTTCTGAGGATATTAGATATTATATAATACACTAGCAGAAGGAAAAGGAAAGTCAAAGGAAAATAAGCGCAAATCAGGAGTGTCCAAAAATTGAGCGCAAAAAAAATATTAAAGGATATGAAGACAATGGAACTCCTAACAACCATGGAAGACCTGCTAGACCACCGAAACCGTCCCCATCAGATAAACAACACTTAAAGCTTTCGTCTTTGTGAGAGAGAAAATCAAGCTCCGCTCTTGCTTCAGAATTCACAGCACAGGTGTTTCTGTCCATCCTTCCACTGTGAGAAGACAACTCAGCTTTTTGGGTCTGCAAGGGTGTGGAACTGTCAAGAAGCCGTTGCTAAGTAAAAGGGAAATGGACCAACAAGAAGAACATTTGTGGCAGAACACAGATGGTGCAAGGTTCATGGACTGATGAGTCTAAGTTTGTAATTGGGATTACTCTCTCTCTCTTTCACTCTCTCTCTCTCTCTCTCTCTCTCTCAGTGTTTGGAATCGGCCGAGCTGCTGGGTGTGTTTGTGAGTCCCGAGGTGTTCCTCCGTCTCCTGCTGGCTGATGTAGAGAACTCTTCCTCCTCCTCCTCTCCTTCTCCTTGGGCTCCTCTGATGCTCCTGACGGCCGTGCTGAAGGGCAGCTCCAGGGAGGCGCTGAATCCACACCTGCTCCAGCTTGGACAAAAGCTCGCCCAGCCCGATGTCTGCCATGACTCTCAGCAGGTGAGGTGACAGAGCTTGGCTTTCTGACCTTTCTGACCTTTCTGACCTATTGATCAGTCTGTTGTAGGGCTGTGGATTGCCAGCTAGATCACCATATGTCATGTGTCATGATTTGATATATCACAGTGCATCACTATATTGCAAGTGGATCACAATGGTTAACAATCATACAAATGGTAATACATTAATGGGTACAGCTTCAGTTCTTCGTAACATGGATTCCACAAGATGTTAGAAACATTCCTTTAAGATTCTGGTCCATGTTAACATGTTTGCATCAGGTAGTTTCTCATGTAGATTTTTCAGGTGTTCGTTCATGATACAAATGTCCTGTTCTACCACATCCCAAAGGTGTTCTGTTGGATTCAGATCCGTTGACTAGGAAGGCTGCTGAAGAACATTGAGCTCACTGTCCTGTTCATGAATCAAGTTTGAGACAAATTTTGCTTTGTGACGTAGTGCATTATCATGCTGTAAGTAGCCATTAGAAGTTGGTAAATTGTGGCCATGAAGGGAAGCACTTGGTCAGCAACAATACTCAAACAGGCTGTGGCATACAAGCATTGACTGATTGGTATTAACAGGCTTAGAGTGTACCAACAAAACATTCCCCACACCATTACACCACCTCCACCAGCCTGGACTGTTCATACAAAGCAGGTTGCACCCATGGATTCATGCTGTTAGGGCCAAATTCAGAACCTGTCATCTGTGTGCCTTAGCAAATGTCAGGATTCATCAGACCGTGCTATGCTTTTTCAGTCTTCTAGTTTTAGTCAAACCAACAGCTAATGTTATTTGCTCGCTTAGGTACAGACTGAAGTTGCCGTAAAGTTATGGTAAGATGTGGAACGGAATCTGGATTGGTGACGTGTCTGTTATGTTATGTTATGTTACGGCGGGTTCATGGTGCATTGCAAGCTGCGGACTGGAAAATGGATCTGTAAGAGGATCGGCCCTGTCCATCCAATATCCAATGAGTGAAGTGACAGCAATATTGGACCTGATGCCGATATAGGATCAGATCCCATTTCTACAAATTACAGTATTTTATAGTGATTTTCATGAACCAACAGAATGAATCTCCACTGTGGTGAATGTATAGCAAACAGTAAGCCATTTGCATGCTACAGATGTTTTACAAAATAGGCAGTGCAGTATGTGGGTATTAAGTAGGTACAGGATCCAAGTTGATTGAACTATAGCAATGTCTTTAAATAGATATATCAATAAGCAAATACGTATTGATGCAAAGTTATGAAAATACAATCCTGATTAAGCGTAGTATCACGCAGCTCTAAAGTCTTGTGTCCTTTAGACTTGATAGTTCCTTCGTTTATTTGGATTGATAGGCCAATCCATGCGTTGCTAAACTTTGGTCATGAGGGACCCACTGCAATGTAATGTGTTTTCCCTGCTCTAACAGACCAGTTTAAACTCACCAGCTCATCAGCAGGTCCTTCAGGAGTTGAAACAGGTGCGATAAAAAGGGAAAACACCAACCTGAAGTGCATTGGGTCACCTGGACTGAAGCTAGAAACCACTCTGTAACGTTCCAGGTCAGCAGATTCCATCCAAGCGGCTGATTTCTTGAGCCGCACACAAAACCCAAAACCCAAAGGACACGGCTAACATTTCAAATGTGCATAAATAAATGCTGTTTTTCACCTTCTCCATTTCTAAGTTTGTTTACCCAGCGAGTTTGTGTACACATGCAACTCTGGCAGCATCGTCCTCTCACCCTCGGGCTCGAAAAACATTTACACTGCTCTCCATTTACTCTGGGAAGGGGGGCACTCAAGCAAACATTAGCTGTTTTTTCCAATTCAGTGCTAAAGTAATAAATTAGCCAGTGGGCTGCAGCTAATGATTAGTTTTATAACCAATCAGCTATTCAACTATTATTTGAATAAAACATCTATTCTGCCTATTCTGCCTTTATCACATCCTCTTTCTTTACCGCTGCCATCGTTTTTAGGAAACAGTAAAAAACGTCATATCGCCCTCTACTTTCCCTGTAGTGTATTACAGTTTGTCACAATGACTGCATGGATCATATAAACATCATAGAGCATTATAACCTGCATTTCAAATGACATAAAAGAAGCCATATCACCCCCTACACTTCCTGTAGTGTCGTACAGTTTGTCAGAAGGACCATGTAGATCATGCCAGTTTGGGAAGTGAGAGGAACTTAATTGACACTGCCTGTTTTTGCCCCGTACCCGTGATCCCCCAGCGGGGCCCACAGGAATTTCCTCTGAGGGACTGCAATAATAAAAGTCCCTAATTTTGCCCTGACTGCTGCGTGTCTGCCGCGACCCCTGCTGACCCTCCCTTCTGGCTGCCAGACCGCCCAGTTGGTTTACTCCTGTCCTCTCTGCCATGCTGAACTCCTCGACTCCCCCCAGTCCCCCCCGCCTCCCTGCTCTGTTTCCTGTGCTTTTCAGTTATGCACTTTTTTCGGTGCGATGGATGACACTCAGTGACAGACAGACAGAAGAAAGAGGTCACGCTCACACATTCACACAGCTGCAGACAGAACTAGAACTGAGAGAGAGTAAGAGGTGAGATGGGAAAAGGTAAAGAGAGATAGATAGGAAAAGTGGGAGAGTGAGTTAGGAAAAAAGAGAAAGAGAAACGGAGAGGTAAAGATAATAGAGCAAGAGATAAGGGATAGTGCCAAGGAGAGAGAGAGACAGAAAAAGAGAGACAGAAGGAGGAGAGACTGATAGATAGATAGCTAGATAGATAGATAGATAGATAGATAGATAGATAGATGGAGGAGGAGAGACAGAAAAGGAGAGAAAGAAAGAGGAGCGATACTAGAGAGATATAGAGAGAGAGAGAGACAGGGAATGTGACAGAGATAGATAGAAAGAGATAGAAAAAGAGAGATAAGGGAGAGATAGAGGAAGAGAGAGATAGGAAAACAAAGACATAGGAAAAGAGAGTCAGAGATTGAGACAGGGAGGGTGTCTCGGGGGTGCGAGACAGATAGAGATAGGAAAAGAGAGAGATAAGGGAGAGATAGAGAAAGAGGGAGCGACAGAGAGAGAGGTAAAGATAATAGAGAGAGAGACGAAAACACAGAGAGAGATAAGGGAGAGATAGGAAAACAGAAAGAGAGAGAGAGAGAGACCCAGAGGTGGCAAGAGAGATAGAGAGAGAAAGCAAAAGAAGAGAGATAGAGACAGTGGGAAGGGAGAGAGATACAGAGAGAGATAGGAAAACAGAGAAAGAGACAAAGGAAAAGAGAGAGAGAGAGACAGTTTGGAGAGAGATACAGAGAGAGAGGGGAGAGACAGAAAGAGGGGGGCACAGACATACTGAAGGGGCAAGACAGAGAGAAATAGAAAAAGGAGAGGCAGCAAGAGAGAGATGGGAAAAGAGTGAGGGAGTAAATGGTACTTAAAGCTTTGATCTTTGAAAGAGGAGAAAGAGAGAGACAGAGCAAGAGAGAGTTGGGAAAAGAGCGAGAGAGACCGATTTTGGAGGGAGATAGAGATACAGAGAGAGAGACAGAGACACACTCAAAGAGTGAGAGAGGGAGAGAGTCAGTTTTCCAGGCTGCATCACCACAGTGCCAGAAATACAGCAGACCGAGGAGCAGAAGGAAACCAAAAGGAGCGCCAGAGCACCTGCAGTCCACACACACTCACACACACACGCAGTCACTGCAGCATCAGAGACAGTGCGGCTTCGCAAGAATTTACAGTGCTGCCACAGCACACGCATTTCTACACACACTCACCTGTTTTTAATATCACACTGAGTAACCACGACAGCCCAGAGAGAGCAGCTGGAGGGGTTTGCATGTGTGTGTTTGCTATGTTTTACGCTGTGGGAATTTAAAAAAATGATAAAAACACATATATTAAAAGCAAAGAGAGCGAACGAGTGAGAGAGAGAGAGGGAGAGCGAGCAGATCTTTGATCTGCCAAAAGCATAAGCAAGTTTTTTCCCGGTTTGTGTGAGTGCGCGTGTGTGTGCATGTGAGCGGTTTGATTTGGACAGAGGAGCGGAGTTAAGATGTAAAACTATAAACTATAAATAGTCTTCAAAGTGCAGGCGGGGGTCTCCAGAGAGAGCGGGGGGGGGTTGGGGACCCTTCACCCCTAAAGCCTCATTTACCAGAAAAGAGCAAAAAAAAAAACTTCAGACAAAATTACTTGGCACGCAAGTCAGTTGTTACCATAATAGCTACATTTACTGTTATTTATTTCAGCTGAATTCTTTACTGTATGTGGAGTGATTTGTTGTGTAATTAAGATTTTAAGGGAGTTTCGCTTTGAGTAGTAAAGCTACTCACTGACAGCAGCAGAGGGAGAAGAGTTGTTTGAACATTTGGAGCACAATTAGATGTATAAATAACTTCTGCTTTATAACATGGATAATAATAACAGTAATAATAATAATAATAGCTTATTTAATTTATGAGTAAATTCATTGCCCTATTGCAGAGGTCGGCAACCCAAATGTTAAGAAGAGCCATTTTGTTCTTTCAACAAAAATCAAACCACCTTGGGAGCCACAAGATTGTATGTTCATCTCGATTACCATCTTGGCTGTAAATATATCAGTATGTGCTGATGTACTAGTATAGGCTAAAAAATATAATATAAACAAAAACGCAGACTTACTTTGCTCTGCTTTAAGCTTTAGTTCAGCTATAGCCGCTTTTCTCGCATCTCCAGCAGGAAACTTTTCCACGAAAGTAGAACAGTTTCTTGTAAAATGTCTCTCAATGTTCAATGTTTATGTGGCTGAAGTCGCTTCTCATTTGCCAGCTTTTAGCTCGAATTTTCCTGTTCCACCTTAAACGGTGCCTCAGGCGACAGAATGTAACTCCTGCGCCATTTATGTTCGTCTTAAATCTCTCTCTTTTCTTTTCCCTTAGCTACTAGCTAGGCGAGATTGTTGTCTGTGTTGCTGTGGTGCCCAGCAGTCTGCGCCAACCTCCGGTGAATTAGCAGATATAGGCTGTATTAACTCCAGCGTTTAAGACCATTTATTGTTAAAACTGTGTTGAACAATCAGCAGAGCTTTATTTTACTGCAAAGGAGGATTATTTTATTTTTACCTAAATATCTAATTCTGCTGTGGAGCCGCAACAGGACAGTAAAAGAGCTGTATGCAGCTCTGGAGCCGCATGTTGCCGACCCCTGGTCTAATGAAATGATTTATTTAATGCATATTCATGCTTGAAAAATGTTTTTAAAAGCAAAAGGTTATTTAAACCACATTGTTTCCTGTCTGATCAGGCATGCTGGGAAAAAGTTAATGTTGACACCAGTTCCTAACAACCATGCAAGACCTGGTTGACCACCGAAACTGTCCACATCAGATAAACAGCACTTTAAGCTTCCATCTTTGAAAGAAAGGAGAAAATCAAGCTGCTTCAGATCTGCACAGGTGTTTCTGTCCATCCTTTCACAATCCAGCTCTATGGGTCTAAGAGAATGTGTAGCTCCCTTCCTGAGAAAAGGAAATAGACAACAAAGAAGAACGTTTGGGCTGGAATGCCAAAACTGAACATCTGACATGTGGAGTGAGATTTTATGGAGTCTAAATTTGAGACGTTTGGAAATAAGAAGGCAGCCAAAGCAATAAAAGACTCTGTGAACCATGTCTGCAACCATCAGTCAAGCATAGTAGAAGATCAGTTCAAGCTTGGGGACGTACTGTCTGGAGTTGATTTGCTTTTGGTTGAAAGTATGAAAGCTGACTGGTTGTCAAAACAATTATTTATCATGCAATCATAATAAATGCAATAACAACCCTAAGCACAGTGCTGAGAAGACCAGCATGTACATAGCAATGTAGCTGCTGGTGTTCTCTGAGCAACCAACTGGCCACCCGCAGAGTCCAGACCTCAACATCATTAAATATGTTTGGGTTTAACTGGATATAGGGCTGCAACAAACGATTATTTTGATAGTCGAATATTTGATTATGGAAACGATAAATTGATTATTCAGATTATGAATCACTCAATTACCAAACAACTCTTATAGACCCATCAGTGATTAAATTTAGTTTAACGTTGTTTTTGGAGTGCAATATTCTTAAAATAAAGACATTCGGAACAGTACCTCTCATAAACTGCCACTCTGTAATGGTACTGAATGCAGTCCAGCAGCAAAGGTGACGGCTCCAAAACGGCAGCACCACTGACGTGCCTGGCTGGACCCAATGCGGCATCTATGTGCGTATTAGTCACCAATTAATTTCGATTTTAGTCAACTTAGCCAATTAATCGTTGCACCCCTACCTGGATAGTGAAAAGCAGAAAATGCAACCAACTTCTAGGACTGAACTTTGGAGGTGAGGAAAAATATCCCTGAGATTTCTTTGAAGAACTGAAAGTGAGTCTCCTGAAAGGAATGGAAGCTGTAATAAAGGAAACAAGTAGACACAGTGAACACTGAACAGTTGTTAAGGCTTCTGTCTGTGTGTTGTTGTATACTTTTTGTACCCGTATGCAACAGCGCCCCCCTGTGAAGTGTACATCTTGCAGCACTGTACGTCAGTGTCCGTGTGCGTGCGCCGGCCCGTCTGCCCTTGTGGTGTTGTGTGTGTTCCCATGGTGACGGCGTTCCCAGCACAGCTGCAGTGTTAACGGCGTTAGCGTGAGTGAAGGCTGCAGGTAAAGTGCAGTGTATGTGTGTTTACTGGCACTCTGTTAAAGACACCATCGCTCAGTAATGCAGTGACCTACAGTAGCATGGGTGCATCTGGGAAGTGTCTGGACACACACACACATATACACACGCAGATCTGCACGTCCGTGCCTGCCGTTTGTCTTCACTGACAGCTGTGGCCTGCTCACCTCACTGGAATACAGAAGGGAGGGGGCGTGGCTTAGGCATGCCTCGGACGGTCGAACAGTTGCATAGCCAGAATTTCATTTTTGGGGGGCTTGATTACAGATTGAAGGGGCCAGCTTCGCTCAATGTTAATATTTTTGTTGGACTGCCCAGTGAGCCAGTCAGGCCCAATGAGAGTCTCTTATTGAGTCACTGACTGTCTGACTGACTGACTGATACACATCATTGACAGTCATTGTTTGGTATTTGTCATCTTTTGAGTTTATGAATGATGTCAAGTTCAGTCACTCTGCATTTTAGTTATGAATATGGGCGAACACTGTGAGTCCTCTGGCACAGATTTTCATCAGTTTTCAGTTTGACCAACATTAGACATGAGCTAGAAAGGCCAAGACAGTCATTTTGACCGTTTAGAAATTTTGAGATGTGATAATTTGGACAAAATAAAACCCCCACATCTTTTTTTTTTACTAGATTAGTGCATATTGTAGCCTAGCAGTGTTATGAGATCAATATTACAGTGCAAAAAAGTTGAATGTTTCTATCTCTTAAGGCTATTAGCGGTTATTTTGACCGTATACAGTAGAATGCATTTCGTCTTCGCAAGCTGGCTGTTTTTTCACACTATTCCAGTGAGTTGGACGTTATTTTAGCAGCATTTATTCAGTAGCTTACTTGCTTCATCTGATTTACCTCACAAAATCTCTAGAATAAACTGGTAAATAGTTTGCAAAGTACAGTAGCGCAGCTCAGCCAAGTACCCCCATATGAAGCAAGCTAATGCTGTGTTGTCTTTTTTGCCATTGACTGCTATTGAGCGTTTCTATGGTGATAGCATCAGCCAGAAATTGGTCAGTCCCATTTCTGTATTTAAGGTGGAATAAAGTCATGAGGATCTAAGAATTCAGCGTTCTTCCCATTTTGTAACTTTGTCAGAAATCTGGCTTTCAAATTTGGGACGGCCTAGGCCCCCTCAGCCCACCCCATCAGAGTATATGTGTGTTGCTTTGCCATGGCAACAGTAGGATTCTGCACAGGTGAGGATGGCAGAACATACTCGTTCGCCTGGCTAAAAACAGTCAACTGACCTGCCAATCATCCCATCGCCCATGGCAACAGTGCCCCAGGAGGGTTCTGCTGGAAGGTAAAAGCAGGTGTAGGACAGTAATAGCAGTGGATGGGGTGTTATTACTGTTTATTAGCTCTGAGAAGATTTTTCCTCTGCTCTGTTTTCCTTCAGGCTGGAATACACACACACACTAATTCCCTTTCAGACAGCGCGTGAGTGCGTGTTCCGCTGTGAATGAGCAGCCTTTCTTTCCTTCATGTTTAAATAAACACACTTCTTCACCCTTTCTCACAAACTGGACGCCCTGACCCTCTCCTCTCCTCCGTCCTGTTTATTCTCCCACTCCCTCCATTCCTTCCCTCCGCCCCCCTTGGCTGCTGGGAAACGGGCTATTACTCTGCTGTGTGTTTAGTGGCTGTATAAATGAGTGGACGGTATATGACAGCAGTTTAAAAGTAAAGGCAGCATGTCCTTGACGCCCTCTGGTGGCTGGCGACAGTATAGTTTTAACCCCGCCCACTCCATATATGAGCAAATGCCACTCACAAACTAATATTTCAGTTGGCATTTGATGCATACAACAGTTGTATTTTGTCAGTTTAACTTCCCTTAATGTTAATATTTTTGATGGACTGCCCAGTGAGCCAGTCTGTGAAAGTCTTATTGAGTCACTGACTGACTGACTGACTGACTGATACACATCATTGGCATTCATTGTTTGGCACTTTACTTTCTCTTTGCAAGAATAGGGGGCAGTTTTATTATGGATATGGGCGAATGTGAATCCTCTGGCTGAGATTTTCATCATTTTTCACTTTGACTAAAATTAGACTTCTTTTTTTTTGTATTGTGCTGAGTTGCTAATCAGAAGGTTTTCAAATGTTTTGACAGACTGTTTGAAGTACACTCACAAACAGGCCACTACATTATGTTGGTCCTTCCTAACACATTTGTGTGTACTCATGCACTCTGGTATCCCCGAGCTCTGCTGAAGGCCTCTGTGAGCACCTGGAGGTTTCCTCTAATCACAGAGCAGAGAAAACAGGAAGCAGTGTCACGATCCCTGTGATGGAGTGGAAATTGGTCAGAATGCAGCGGGACGTCTGGACATGAGCTCACAGCAGAGGAGGGGAGGGGGAGAAAGTGCTTAAAAACGTTATTTTCTGTCCAGTACATACTTTGCAGTACTGTGCAAAGTCAATCCTTCATTTACTTAATTTCCAGGCGCAACAGTTTGTATGTACTATTTATTCGTTGTACAGGAGATTTAAAAATATATATTAATCAGTTAGAAAAATCCCTGCTGTTTTGTGTTTTATCTCTCTCTCTCTCTCTCTCTCTCTCTCTCTCTCTCTCTATCTCTCTCTCTATCTCTGTCTCTCTTTCTCTCTCAGACGGTGTATTTGGAGCAGCTCGTGCAGTGTGTGGAGGTTCTGCTGCGTGTGTGTGAGGAAGACTGTAGCATCATCAGTTTGCAGATGCTGAAGGTTCTGGTGACTGTACAGAGTTTAGCCACCGAGCAGGAGCTGCGGAACCGGGTAACACACACAAACACACACACACATATAAACACACACGCACACACAAACAGATGCGCAAACAAATAAACACACACACAAACAAACAACAAAATAAATACACATACACACTCACACACAAGTACACTCGCCACACACACACACAAAGACACATACACAAATACCCTCATTCAAAAACACATACACATGCACACTCCTTTTCTATCACCTCAGGACAAGTGTAACCCATAATTCTCTGTTAGCCATTTCTTTTTCTTTATATGTGTGTGTAAGTTTGTGTGTGTGTGTGTGTCTGTGTGTGTGTGTGTGCGTGTGTGTGTGCGCGCAAAGGTTAACTTTTGCCCCTTTTCCTTTCATCCCTCTGTTTTTTTCCATCCTTGCCTTTTTTATTGCAAGTGTGCTCTGTGGTGAAACTGGCCATGGAATGCTGTGTGTGTGTGTGTGTGTGTGTGTGTGTGTGTGTGTGTGTGTGTGTGTGTGTGTGTGTGTAATTATGGACAGGAGAACACTAATAGCATGTTTTGCGGTTGAACTCTAAACCCACTGATGGGTGAAAGGAGGTGTGTGTGTTTGCAGAACATTATCGTCATTTTCTGTGGGTGTGTGGGTGGGTGTGTGTGTGTACGGGTGGGTGGGTGTGGGTGTGGGGGGGTGGGGTCCTGAAGTGAAGCAGAGACAGTAAATAAGATAAAAACACACAGCAGCCTAACATATATAACTTTATAGCTAACAACAACGTACAGACGAATACTGTAAAACAGAGAGAGAGAGAGAGAGAGAGACAGAGACAGAGAGACAGAGAGAAAAGACACAGATAGACAAAGATAGAGAGACAGACAGAAAAAAAGAGTTAAAGAAAGATAATGAAAGAACAGCAAGTGAGAGAGATAGTGAGGGAATGAGAGAGTGGTGAAATGAGGGATTGATAGAGTAGGGGAGTGAGACAGTGAGAGTGTAAGTGGTGGAGTGAAGGCGTGAGAGAGTAAAGGTTTGAGGGAGTGAGTGAGACTGAGAGTGGTGGAGTTGGGGAGGGAGAGAATGAGGGAGTGAAGGTTTGACGGATGAAGTGAGACAGAGTGGTGGAGTCAGGGTGAGAGAATGAGGGAGTGAAGGAGTAAGTGGTGGAGTGACAGAGCACTGGGCAAGAATGAGGGAGTGAGACAGTGAGAGTGGTGGAGTAGGGGAGGGAGAGCTAGTAAGCAAATGAGAGAATGAAGGAGTGAGACAGTAAAGGAGTGAGTGGTGGAGTGACAGAGAGTAGTGGGCGAGAACGAGGGAGTGAAACAGTGAGAGTGGTTGAGTCGGGGAGGGAGAGATTGAGGGAATGAGCACATAAGCAAACGAGAGAGTGAAAGAGTGAAGAAGTGAGTGGTGGAGTGACAGACAGTAGTGGGCGAGAACGAGGGGGTGAGACAGTAAGTGAGACAGTAAGAGTGGTGGAGTCAGGAAAAGAGAAAATGAGGGAATAAGGGATGAGGGAGTGAAGGAGTGGGAGAGTGAAGGAGTGAGTGATGGAGAGTAGTACGTGAGAAAGATGGAGTGAGAAAGTGAGTGAGAGTGGTGGAGTCGGGGAGGGAGAGAATGAGGTAACAAGGAGTGACGGAGTGAAGGTTTGAGGGAGGGAGTGAGACATTGAGAGTGGTGGAGTCGGGGAGGGAGAGATTAAGGGAATAAGGAGTGAGACAGTGAGTGAGAGTGGTGGAGTCAGGGAGGGAGAGAATGAGGTAAAAGGAGTGACGGAGTGAAGGTTTGAGGGAGGGAGTGAGACATTGAGAGTGGTGGAGTCGGGGAGGGAGAGATTAAGGGAATAAGGAGTGAGACAGTGAAGGAGTGAGTGGTGGAGTGACGGAGAGTAGTGGGCGAGAACGAGTGAGTGAGACAGTGAGAGTGATGGAGTTGGGGAGAGAGACATTGAGGGAATGAGCAAGTAAGCAAATGAGAGAGTGAAGGAGTGAGGCAGTAAAGGAGTGAGAGTGACGGAGAGTAGTAAGCGAGAATGAGGGAGTGAACGAGTTAGCAAGTGAGGGAATGAGAGAGTAAAGGAGTGAGGAGGTGGTAGAGTGAGGGAGTTTGTCAGTTATGTTCAGTGTTGGTCAGTTTTTCTCGGACTGAGAGACGGACTCCCCAGGGAACACCCTCAACTTTCCCACACACACACACACACACCCTGGCCTAGTCTCAGGGGGTTACAGTGTCCGACTCGGAGTGAGGGTCAGAAATATTTATGTTTGTACAGTACTGTGCAAAAGTCAAAGACCACCTTTCATTTATTTAATTTTAGGTCAAAATGGCCATTTAGTACAAATGATTCATTTTTCAGACCTCAGCATCACTGAATGTGAAAGTATTTGGATCAGTAGATGCAGAAAATGTTAAACCAACTACTGAAACTTTGGAGGTGTATAAAAATATCCCTGCAGATTTCTTTAAAAGACTGAAAGTGAGTCTCCTGAAAAGAACGGAAGCTGTAATAAAGGTAAAGAGTGGACACTGTAAATACTGTTAAAATGAATGTTATGTATAGTTGTTGAGGCTTCTGTGTACATTTTTCTAAATTATGTTATTCTGCTTTTTCCAGATGCTGAAAAATGAAAAACCCTCTCTTTATCTTACAAGTAGATTGTCTTAGATTGTGTGTAATAATATGTAATCTCCTCAGAAATGACTCCTGGAAAATTAATAACTTGTGGCTATTGAACATTTTGACTGGAATTTAAGTGAATATTAGTGTATATAAGAGTTTGTGAATAAGAGTTTGAAATATT